TTTAGAAAGGATTGCAAAAAAGATGGTGTTCCTTATGGTTGTAAGGCATTACTAGATTTTTTTCTCTGTTAGAAAATCGTCGTTTTAAACAAGAAAACTCATATATTGAGAAAAATGAAGGTTTTTGAATGGAAAGTAGAATTTTTTTTTTGATATTTTCGCCTGACGTTTGTGTGATATCGCCGCAATTCGCAATCTCACAGACGCCGTCGGCAAAGATGCCACCACCTCGACGTGGTAGGGGCACGTCGAGATGCCGGCAGCTCCCTCTCTCAAAAGAGCACGCTATTTCCCGTGCTCTCTGACCTGCCGACAGCTGCCATCTCGCAGATTTCGACGAGCTGCCGGCAGGTTGCCGGCAACTGACATCGCGAAGTTGCCGGCAACTCCTCCTGCGCTTCCAGATATTTTACCAAATGAGGAGTTCTGGAAACGCAGACTTTTATGGAGTTTTCTACAGAGTCGAGGCGGCATCTTTATCGAGGAAATTTTTTGGAATAAGGCCTGGGACGGCCTAAATTTGGAGTCTCACTTTCTGGCCACCTCACGGAAAAGGTGCCAGCGACCTGCCGACGAGACCTGCCGCCAGGTCGGGGGGATTACTGCCGGCCATGGAAAATCTTGTCTAAACAGCATCTTGTAGCACAAAGTTTCCTAATCCTTATGCATATTTTTTATAATTAATCCGCTTATTTCCCATGGATTTAGGGCAAAAAGAGTGAAAAGCAATAATTTTGAGATTTAGTCTCTTTTGTTTCAAGGCTCAGAGCTTTGGAACGGAGATATACGAAGGCGGAAGCCCATATAAGATACTAGAAAAAACCCTCTTTCAGATAGCATAAAAAGTTTTTGAGGGATTTGATTACACCTCAAATACCAGCTCTTGGAAGAAGAGGTGAGAGAAACGTGCATTAATTATGAATCAACCTAATATATATTAGGTTGTCCCGAAAGTTTTGTCGGTTTTTTTCATTGCTCACCCAAACTTACAGAAAGCCATTCCATGGACGACTTAGGATCCATTCTATTCAGATTTTTATCCTCTTTCTTACAGCTATATTTGTTTTCTGATCTACCCCGTCTTTGTGATGTTATCGCTATGGCTTTTTGAGCACTTCAGCAGTAGCGCCAAATCTTTCCTAAATTTTCAAAATTTTTATACTGATATTTTCAGGGAGCGTTGGTGACTGTTATGTAGAACAAACCTTTGGCTACATTGTACTTGTTTTAGATTACGTGGGCCTCGTTAACTAAGTCCGTTATGGTTATTTATTCAGTAAAAGCCGCGGCTTTTTGAATAAGTTTACCACGTAAAAGTACTGAAAATCCCAAAAAGCTGATTTTTGAAGCAAATCAAACTTGCTTATGTTGCATAAATAATGTTTAATAACAATCAAGTTTGAATTTGCAGAAACTTCAAAAGTTTTCTTGCTTTTGCTGCAGTTGCGTTTTTCATGACTTTGCTGAAAATCAAGGCCTCCAAAGAACTAATTTTTTTTGAGCTAAACCCAGCAGATTAGGAGAATCAAAAAATATCCCCGTAAAGTCCTGGAATTGCTCTATTTGAGCCATTCTCAACCCTCTCCGAAACTTTGGAACGAAATTTTTGAATAGTAGCCTAACTTTAAGCAGATAAAAATGGCGGGTGAAGAATTTTGGCAATTATCATAAAAAGCATAAAGGATTGCGGTTCGAAAATGTAACCATAAGAAAGAGAATGAAAAGTTGCATCGAATGCACTTTAAATCTCATTCAGATCTTTACTGTGCGCGGTTTTATAGTGATTTGAAAAAACCGACAGAACTTTCGGGACAACCTAATATTGTCGGTCCAAAAGTTCTGTCGTTTCATTTTTGAAGATTTGTAACTCTGCGCTATCCCAATAAATTTGCATCTTTGTAATTTTATTTGAAAGCATAACTTTTTCGCTTTCGAGCACAGTCTTGATTAGATTCTATCACACACTGACTGCAGAGATAAAAATGAAAAAGTAAGGCCAACCAAGTTTTGCTGATTTTAAGTTAGGTCGCCATAAATTTGAAACGCTACAGAAAAATCTGAAAAGTCCAGCATATAAGTTTTTTGACCCACTTTTTATACCTGTTAAAAGACTGTGCTGTTTGAACGTCTCTGAGAGAAGATATGAATTTCGGAAAAAGTGACAAATTAATTAATTTTGGCGTTTTCTGAGTAAACTCGAAATTCAAAACTTCTCTAAGCATTTAAACAGCACAGTCTTTCAACAATTGTAAAGAATGAGTTGAAAAACTTTATATACTAGACTTTTCAGAATTTTCTGTAGCGTTTCAAATTTATGGCGACCTAACTTGAATCAGCAAAACTTAGTTTGTCTTAGTTTTTCATTTTTATCTCTGCAGTCAGTGTGTAATAGAAGCTAACCAAGACTGTGCTCGAAAGCGAAAAACTTATGCTTTCAAATAAAATTACAAAGATGCAAATCCATTGGGATAGCGCAGAGTTACAAATTTTCAAAATGAAACGACAGAACTTTCGGACCGACCTAATACAGTTGCAGCGGTGGAATTTGTCCAAAACTGCGGGATTGTCGGGATTCGCGGGATTGTCGGGATTTGCGGGATTGTCGGGATTTGCGGGATTCGCGGGATTCGCGACTTCGCGGGATTTGCGGGATAAGCGGGATTTAGCTATAACTTGTTTTAAAACAGCTTTATTTATAATCTAAGTGAAGATTTGACTTCAGCTTCATGAGACGAATCTTCTGGTATACAATATGTCAGTAGTTCTCAGTGACACGGTAGACATATGGTGATACCTTGTTGTTTTCTATGTTAAGGCTTTTATTAGCATCTATCACAGTGTAAGTCGCGAATAGGAGGTCCTGGTACGAAGTTCTCATTATCGAAAATTATCGCGAAAAATTGGGCAGTTTTTATCTATCCTTATCACTGATATAAGCATTTTATCATTTATCACTGATAATAACACATTTTTGGATCATTTTCGGCATATGGTAAGAAAAGTATTGTAGGAAACGCTGTGTGAATTTCTATCGCTGTTTCTCTCATAATAAGTGATTTACAGGATTTCCTAGTTCTATTGTTCGGTCAATTGGTAGATCCCTCGCTGCAGCAATCGATCGATCTGTCATCGGCACATGCCCCATTGCTGCCAATTCTTACTTAAAATGGCATTTTTGCTTCAACTGGCTTCACGCCGAAGCCTGGGCTGAAATTCTGCACCCATATGGAAGATGAATGTGGGAGTCGACCGCATGAATTTAAGCCATTCTTATCTATCGTTGTCATTGATATCATCATTCTATCATTTATCACTGATATGATATCACAAAATTGGATCATTTTTGACATACTGTAAGAAATACTTTAGAAAACGCTGTGCGAGTTCTTACGCTCTATCTCTTATAGTATATATTATGTATTATGTGACCTACAGGCTTTTTTGGCGCTATTCCAGTATACCGACCCCAAAAATTAAAAATCTCGGATTTTGCTCAAACTCAGTATAGGGGGGTTATTCGATCCGCTGATGCCGAATATCATATCGATTCCGTGCGACAGCACCATTTTCCGGGGGTTACGGTGGGTACACGGTAGGAGGTCAAAATCACAAAATTCTCTGAGACTTGGTGCAGGGGGGTTATTTGACATGCTGAACACGAATATGATATCGATTCGTTACGGTAGCAACTCATTCCGGGGTTATGGTGGGTATACTGTAGGAGGGTCTAATTCACTGCTTTAAACCCACCGCCGCGCGCGATACACCCTGCGGCGCCTTTTGCCTAAGCAAAGCAGAGGGAGGAAATTTTCGACGTGTGACTGAGATTTCAAGCCCTGAATCTCGATCTAGCGGTGGTATTGGTAATACCCAACGTAACGTTGGAATGAGGCACTATCGTAACTAATAAACATCATAATCATGATCAGCATGTCAAATAACCCCCCTACACGAAGTTTCAGCGGATATCGTGATTTTGACCCCTTACCGTATACCCACCATAACCCCGGAATGAGGTGCTACCGTAACGAATCGATATCATATTCGTGTTCAGCATGTCAAATAACCCCCCTGCACCAAGTCTCAGAGAATTTTGTGATTTTGACCTCCTACCGTGTACCCACCGTAACCCCAGGAAAATGGTGCTGTCGCACGGAATCGATATGATATTCGGCATCAGCGGATCGAATAACCCCCCTATACCGAGTTTGAGCGAAATCCGAGATTTTTAATTTTTGGGGTCGGTATACTGGAATAGTACTGCTTTTTTCTGGTTCAACTGCGGATCCCTCACTGCAGCAATCGATTGAAAAAATTGCGAAAATTCAGAATTCAAATAGCGAAATCGGCGATTGATGGGTCCCTCGCTGAAGTATTACGCATGATCGCATCATATCTGAACAATGAGTAATCTGAAAGATATGATCGTTGAGAATAGTAATCAGCGAACATGTTCGCAAAGGAAAATTCAATGCACAGTATGTGTGTAGAAAGATGGAAGTCGATAGCATTCCTCTTAGTCTCTTTCAATAAAGAGTCTTTGGAACTTCTCGCAAAGGTAAGGAGAATGGTCAGCGAACTTTGAAAAATTCACGTCCGCCCAAAGTCTGCCTACCGCAGCTCAGAAACAACTCTAGTGTGGGAAGCGAAGCAAATACGATTATTTGATTAGCTAGTTCGAATGAGTTATGCATGGAGAACCTCTGACAGTTCGCATCCGTCATCCGTCATTACAATGGGAGGTATAAGACTTTTTGAAAGCAGCAAGATTTTTATTTTTATGTCGACCATCAAGTGTAATATGTTCATGTTATGAGATCCTTTCATGAAATCGACTATTTCTATAAATAAATGAATTGCGAAAATTTCGAGTATAATTGTGTTCTTGATTGCATGCTTTCCAGATTTCCTTAATCAAAGTATTGACCCAAATTTATTTATAGTTTACTTCAATATCATCCGAAACTTTTTAACCGGTAAAAAAAGAATCTAAAATGTGTGGACTAAGTAAGCAGAATCTTCAGAACATGTAGAGTAGGATACATGGAGCAAAATGTAAAGGAAAAAATCGAAGCAGAATCTTCAGAACATGTGGAGTAGGATACATGAAGCAAAACCGTCATCGTGAAGACATAGATGAAATAGATCGCTGACATATGGGACGGGAACAAAATAAAGTTTGCATAACAAGGAATAAAAACACTCAACAAATATTAAAAAACACTACTAGTTTTCGTTTTCATCATCATCATCATCATCATCATCATCGAACAAAAAAGGGTCGTTTTCATCCGCGACGTCGATATTACTGTTGTTGTTATTGTTTGTTCTAGATTGTTCTGCTGAAGTCGCAGGAGCACTCTTTTTTCGATTCCTTCGAGCTCGAGAATTTAAAGCGTTTTTTGCCAGTTTCCATGTGGCGGCTCTAGCTTCCACGGGTATGGCGTAGTACTTGTAAACGCACTGAAAACATTATATGAGAAGTTACAATTTCATTGTATCTCTCTTACTTTTTCAATAAATTGCATCCTGTCCGCTGTCGCGAGTCTATCCTCGACGTGGTTCAGTACGTCACTATGGTCACCATACACAAGCTTCTCTAAATCAAGTACAAACTGACTTATGTTGCCCGAGCGCATTGCACGCAATTGCTCCACTTTCTCTTGCGAGACAAAGTTGTACTCAATGGCATCTGAAAAAGATTTCTTCCTAATATTCGGTGTAAAGAAATACAATCATACCAGAATTTTTTGACTTCGCCGTTTGAGTAGGCAAACGTCGAAGAATCTCTCTATTCAATGAAGTGATTTCCCGCAACTGGTTTGTGACTTGCTGCTTGAACGAGCGAAATTCGTTTTCGAAACGGCGTGGCAAAATCTCAGCCCTTAGTTCTCCGACACGTGTAACTTACTCAGCCAAAGCTTGATTCTCCTCTTCGCCTTCATTCAGGGATGATGCGGCGTCTTCACTTGGGCTAAAAAATACAAATTGCGAAAAATCCGAGACTCTCTGAAAGCTAATTTTGTATCCAGTACGACGCTGACCCACATTCGAAATAGTTCCCGCAGCTTATAATTCGCAAGACGAAATTTGATAAGAACAGACAGTGAAGTAGCTCGAAAAACGGAAAAACGGTACCTTCGGACAGATGTTCCTGGAACAATGTCAAATTCCTCTACAATTTCACCATCTGCGGTGACTTGCTCGGCTTTACGCTCGCACTCGTGCTTTGTTCCAATATACAATATCTGCAATAGAGTTCCTCACATCTATGAAAATCTCGTTGTCACACTTACAAACAGACAGGCAACTTCACAGAGGCAATCGCCATCATATGCAAGAGGATACAACATCCTGTACCACTAACCTTCGCTTTGTATTGCTTCCCATCATTCCATCTAACTTTAACTGTCCTCTTCACCAGCGCCGTCCCTATTATATCAGAGATGGATACAACATCGGAAGTGGGGTTTTCTGGCGATGCGAAAAAGACCACTGCATAGCGATCCATCAGCGTACTATTCACCGTACGCGAACTGAAACAACAGAACTTACTTTCTCCAGTTCATAAATGATAGATTCGTTCATTAACCGGAGATACAAATCAACATGAGAAGTAACGAATTTTTGTAGTACTCTAGAGGGTGGGGGCAGCCAACATGAACGATAGCTCGTGCCAGCCACATGCTTTGCGTGGCCCAAGTCTCTCTCGAATTCTTCATTACGCTAAGATGATGCTTAAAAAGATGGAAAAAACGCTAGGAGCTGAGTAGTCTCTGATTCTTACTTTCTACACTATTTTCAATTCGTTTTAATACTGCTCCAAATAGGACACTTTATGCACGGCATACTGACAACAACGCAGGAGTACAGTATGTTTATACGCAGCTATTGTTCATCTTGGCATACACTCGCACTCTAGCAAAACATAGTGCGAGGACAGATGACATCCGCATGTACACAGATTGCACCACAAATTAGGTTCCCCAGAGGTACACCTTAGCCGCGGCGTAAGCGCCTGTGTGCAAGTGGCAGCCTTGAAGAGGGGGGGGGGAGGCGTAGCATGTCGTGATCCCTGCGTGCATGCCACAGCCTGCGGCGTAGTGTGAAAGAACTGATTCAATACTTTTCGTAGTGGTTCATCAAGTGAGGCAAGAGTAGTTGACAACAGTATTCGACAAGCACAATCGTCTTTATTTAACCGTAAGCATCCATCGCTGCGGATGCTCTCTATACGCACGCTTAGAATTTATTCGTGACTGGTTTAAACAAAAATACGAATTAAGCCCATCATAGCAGACAAATTCAAACAAATGAAGACCACACATTTGCATGGAAGTGAATATTACATGTGTACAATAGCTACGGAAAGACACAAGGTAGAATACTGCAATGGACATGGAGGCTAACGACGAACGACTTAGGTTGTAAGTCAATTGTCATTTCTTCCGAGATTCCTCTTCCATAAACTTCGTAAAGACGTCGGTCGGGTCCTGAAGTGAACATAAGGACGTTTGTGCAATTACAATGACGAAATCCATTTCACTTTACTGAAAATCTAGACCTATGTCATCATTGCCAAACTTTCAACTCTTTCATTTTCATTTTTACTTCCTAGATTTTCGTAGCTTTGTACTTCAGAATACCATGTTCAAGTACTGCATTTAGTTTTTCAAATCTCGTCTGCCTGTTCAAGTATGCCACTGTTGGACCACATCGACATGATTATGAGATTTCGTAGAGAAGGAAAATCTATGGAATACATCCTTCGCGAAGTGAAGAAAGTAAATCTTACTTTTCATATGTAATTCTCCAACGCAATTAGTATATTGCAGAGAGACCCACATGCCACGCGCGCCAAGTTGAAGTACTTTCTCAGAAGATGGCATTTATCATCACCCTTGCAAAAGAGACGCTACAAACCGAGATCCTTAGCTCGTAAATTTGCAGTTCTATCGTTACGATTACATAGCTTTCCCACTTAACTATCACATATAGAAAAAAACAACCATCTTGATGTTTGAATGAAGAATTATTTTAGCACACATCAAAAAAATATGGGATGTAATTAGAAGCTCTTACGCTGCTAATAGTTCCACCACTATTCCGGAGATAAAAACCCGCCTAAGGGATCTGTACAATATCACAGTGAGCGAAAGCCAACTGAGAAGTTTTCGCAAACTACTTGGATTCTCAAAAACTGGTGTCCAATACTGCCAAATGATTAGAGATGTGAATAAAGTGAAGAGGCTAGAGTTTGCCACTTCAATGCTGACACAAAACGAAATTTTTGCTGATTGCGTATTCACCGACGAGAGCACAGTAGAAGGTACGCAACTATGTTTTCCATTTCTTGAAAAGTACCATACCTTTTTCAGTGTTTACATCCTCAAAATTTTGCTACACCAGACTTGGTAAGTACAGAGCCCGGCTTCGAGCAAGGCCCAAGCATCCGGCAAAAGTTCACATATGGGGAGGCATCTCTATGAGAGGGACTACCAGTCTAGCTATTCTGCCTGGTCATATGCGAATCAACAGTGCCACATACTGTAGGATTTTGGAAAAGTGTTACTTGAAATTCCACAATACTATCTATCATGGTCTGTTATTTTCAGTTGCCAGTTCACCGAACCAACTTTTGATATTCATATAAGAATAACTTTTGAGGATTCGCAAGATTGGTACACGACAATGCACCCGCGCACACAAGTGTATTCACAAAGAAGAAACTTGACGCATGGAAAATAAAAGTTCTGGACTGGCCCCCCGAGTCACCAGATCTCAATCCCATCGAACTAATCTGGGGGAGTATGAAGAGTTTCCTAAGGTATCACACTTCAGTACATTTTCCCACTTTTCCAAACTAACCTCGTTTAGAAGGCACTCTATAAGAAATCTCCACGAGCTGAAGCTCGCGATCAGAGAGTTCTGGAGAACACTCACGCCGCAAAAATGCAAAAGATACGTAGAGGGTATACAATGGAGACTACAGGAAGTCGTCAAAGCAGAAGGTGGAAATATAAAAGAAAAAAAGCCAGCATCCACTTCTCGCGTCGACCCCGATCTCCCAAGCACTTCTCATGCTGATCCATTTTCTCCGACCACTTCTCACTCTCCAAGCACCTCTCGCCTTGATCCCTCATCGCCGGACACGTCCCGCGATCTCTCATTTTGACTTGTATCCTCATTGACACTATTTCTTCGTCTGTTACACTACCTTGTATACTACCAACGTTTCGCTTAGAATTCCTCATGCTATGCATATCAATACTACATGCAAATGATATCACTACCTTAACCAAATTTCTCAATAAAGTTTTGCAAACCATATGTATGTGGTGCATATGTTTACGGCAAACCAGAGAGTGTGTCAAGCATGTGCTTATAACACACAAGAAAAAGAAACAAAAAGGTATTATCTCAAAAGACATGGTCAAATAGGAGTGCACAGCACAAATCAACAACAAAAAGGTCAATGTTTATTTGCATGTTAACAACAATTAATCTCCAGAGTAGATGGCATCCACAATTGACAACAAGCTGCAGGTGACTAAACACTTTACATTGCACCCTTACTGATCATCCAAATCTGCTCGGTCAAATGTAAATTAGCTCCTTTTTCTCCGACCTATCTGATGCAGATATTCGGAAAGATACATTACTGCAATCTTGTCTTCCTCTTCCCCCTCTCGTTACTCTATCTCTATCCCTCCCTCTCTTATCTCTCCCTCCCTCCCGACCCTCATCATTACGGTGTTATCCTCTTTTACCGATCTCTTTTTTCATTCCAGCCTTACCTTAATTCCGTCCGAAAAGCGACGAGGCAATAGTCGCCTAACCAGGCAGTGAAAGGTGGCATGGATAAGTCCGCTCAGAGAAATGGTTATTAATTTTCTTTATCCGTCGATACGGCAGCAATGTACTGCAAGACAGAACGTCAAGAATGTGTACCCTTTTCCGAAAAAAAAACATGAAACACGCACCTGAACCGTTGTCATATGTTAGTAAACTAACACCAAGTAGCTAAACGCCATTCTAATAAGATTATGTTGGAGGAGTGAACGTTACTGTTTTCCGTCAAGACAGAGATGCAATATCAACTAAGGTTGCTTATTGGATATGGTTGTCTGGAAGAAAGAAATTAATTAGTTAAGGACCAGGAAACGAAGTAACCATTACCTAGTATCTTTCTGAGGCACGTTCTTGTAATGACAACTGAGTTCCGTATGCTCATATACCCGACGTACTGTGACTGTACTTCTGAAACGACATTCCAAGCTTCAAATATAATTTGAAGAATCAAGATCTTTGAAGATTCTGGTGTCTTAAATGACCCTTTGCGATCCCCTCACATATTCCCATGAATACATGTAAGAGTGCGCGATGATTGACACAAATACTGCTCAAGGGAACGGCCATAGGTTGCCGGCAATTGTTGTCGGTGTTGTTGTTGGTGTTGTCGAGGTAGACAGCTTAGAGAGCGCTCGAAACGTGGAGGCCACCATGAGCTCCTACAACGACCGGCAACCCCGCCAACACCGACAACATCCGACAAACCGACAACATCGACAACAACCGACAACAACGGACAAAAACGGACAACAATGACAACAACGGACAACACCGACAAAAGTTGCCGGCAACCTATGGCCGTACCCTAAAAGCGAAAACATAAGCGAAGTAAGTGTAGTGAGGTACATTGCTTGAAAAAACCAAACCAATGCAATACCTTTCGGTATGATCAAGCTCATGAGGTTTATGATTGTTCCAAATAAGCTTCCAATACAGCCTGATGTTCGTGTATCCTCAGCTGCTTTCCTAGAATTGGAAAGCGGAGAGTAATGACCCGAGAACCATCATGAATTACGACGGGGAATCCTGCAACACTGCTGCTAGACCTCGAGGTGTTTCCTAAATCATCTTCCGAATACCCGAAGTTCAGGAATATTGTATGTGATAATTAGGTGTACATCGTAATCCTGTCATTTCAGTTGCTTTGCGGTGCTTAAAACACACTCATGAAATTTGTATGGGAACGCGGTTCTACAACTGGATTTCTTTACGAACTAACTTTAGAGTTACCAGAGGGACAACTGAAAGCTTGTACAACTATGAGATTGCTAGAATCAATAACTTTATGCTGCAGTTCATTTTGCAGATGTCAGCTCACTTTGGTGCCATCTATCTCTACCGGACTGGTTGCGCGTGAGGTTCGCGCGCGGCAGCCCAAAGGGGCGCGCATTCTTATGGGCGTCGATCAACAGCGGTGCATTCTCGCACACATGTGAGAGAATGTGCGCCCCTAAGCCACTCGGCTGCCGCGCGCAAACCGCCCGAGCATCCAGCCCGGTAGGAATAGATGGGGCCGTCTCGGTTGTGGAATGATGGCACACGATGTAATATGGAATCAAAACAGTGAAGAAAAGTAAAGATGATGCTACTAAAGCCACGCGGCCCGCCTCGAGCGTACTGCTAGAAAAAAAAGCGAAAGCAAACGTCCACCCTTTGGGACAAAAATTAGATACTGACTAATTCTCTTCAACTTCGCAAATTGTAAAACTGTAAAATCAATTGATATATAAAAATAAAATAACACCTACCTTCTTTTTGCGACGACATTCTTTTGCCGCTTCGCGATTCTTCAGCAATCGGCTTGCCGTTTTCTAGTCGATGCAACTTCGCCTCCGCCACCGCAACTACCTCCGCCCATCGAACCTCGCGATCCAGCCGCCATGGTCGGGGACGCGGAGCTAATGTACCCGGAAAGCAATAGGTGCCAATCTGGGAGAAAAATGACTCGATATATGCTGGGAAATTAGAAAATCCTTTGCTGAAATTACCTGTAAAAGTTGAGGGATCCATACTACCGACAGGTTTGCTAGCATGTCCGTCGTGGTTCATGGGGATGCCGGACGAACCTGCAAGCACATCAAATAAAATTTTGTAATTTCTTAGGCCCTGGCCAGACTTCGCTCAAAAGCGCCCAAAAGCGCCCAAATTTCTCTGGTGTCTCTTCACTCTCTCGTGTGAAGAGAGATGAGAGAGAGTGAGGAGGGGTTACAGAAGTTTGGGCGCTTTTGCGCGCTTTTGGGCGCTTCTGCGCGCTTTTGGGCGCTTTTGAACGAAGTCTGGCCAGGGCCTTGCATAAATTCAACTTATAACTATATCAGAATGCCTTTGAGAATATTTTCAAGGAGTGTTTCTCTGAGTCAACTTTCTTACCATCGCAAAAAATGAAAGGTACGAATCTAAAAACTCTGATGTTTAGAACAATAGCCTGACACGTACAAGCAAATGACGATTTGGTGTGACGTACGAGTTGCGGCGATGACCCACAAATTTCGCGGAAGAACGCGATGATAACCCCATCGCGACGAGCCTTTTGCGAACACGTGCAAGTGCAGCCACTCTTCGTTATTCGCGCCGCGACGTATCATTTGTGATTACCGCACACAGCGTGGGAAGTGATATCAGGTATTACACAACATCAGTCAGTGTGAGCGCAGCCCCGATGTGTAAAACACAAAATTTTGTTCAATAGAGACGCCCCAGGTTGCTTTGCAAACGCGTTAACAGCACAAAACGAATGAAGGAATATGACACACTCGTAGCGATAATGGCAAAATGAAGGAATGTGACGTACAGTACAGTTACCGATAATAGCACAGGATGACAAAATTTTGCAGCGAAGCTTGTTTACTATCACAATCTTTACCCCATATAACTCTAGGTTGTTTAACAAAGAAAAAAAATGCAGAGCTGCAGTCGAGCGTTTTCATATAATCGCCATTCATTATGAAATAATGCGAACTTTCTTGAGGGCTGACTCTAATCTTTGAAATCTTACAATGTTGATAAAATTATAAAAGACAGCCAACGGCGTAATAGACGTATGACGACCCATTAAAGATGACTTTTGAGGGCATAAAAAATGCTTGTCATGGCAGAGGAGCTTCTTTCATTTACTTTATGTACTGTAAATAGTATCTTTAGGTAGATATAAACTGCACTCCAGTTCGGGATAGAAAGCAAAGCTAATTGCTGACAAAGCTAGTTAGATAAGCGACGAGAATTTCATCCAAAACGATGGAACCTTTAACACGTTGACGACCGAGCCATTTTTGACCACCTCAAAATGGACTGATGATCTACGCCTGCGGTTTGGACTGTTTGACACCTACTGCAATGCCGTGTGTTCTATATGACAACCAGGCCACCAGTGTTACCACTGCATAGAAGTTACCTGAGGACTTTTCGTTTACACATGATAAATTGATGCACGAAAGTGCTAAAAGGTGGTCTGGGCGTGCATACGCGCGGATGCACACGGTCGTCAACGTGTTAATTTAACTGGCTTGGCGGCTGCAAAGCGGGGCTTATTGACCTAATTAAGGCCGCTCGCTTCACGACACAATCTGCGTCTCTCCCGCGCGCGTGCTCTCTGATCATTACCTAGCCTCAATTAGATCACAAAGCCCCGCTTTCCAGCCGCCAGGGCAGTTGAATCAAAGGGTAGACTGCTGATCAAAAGCGTCTTTCGGTCGATTCAGCAAAACCGTCACAAATGGCTGCTGATGCAACAACGTGCAGAAATTCCAGACCAAATTTGTCCCTCTGAGAGATCCCAAAAGGGAAAAAGAAGTTTCCACTAGGTAGCATGGAAACTATGAAAAGAAGAACATAGAAGATTTTGCACAATACAGCGATCAGCGATACAGCGATCATTTTGAAGCACAAAAGTAACCACTTCAAAACGTGACTGTTGAAAAGAAAAAAATGTGTCGAATGATGGGATTATTTGCAGATCCTCATTTAAATTATTTTTAGGATAAGCCTAAAAACCGGACGAACTTTCGGGACGATCTAACACTTAGGACTGACCATATCAGTCCAAAGCCTCCATTCTGACATCAAGATATCTCTTCGCGGTTTACAAAACTCTGATGAACGTGCCAAAACACATAAGAGATACGTCCGCTGGACGTTTTAATCTCTGGAGCTAGCTTTCCTGATTGATACTAAATCTTACAACTTGGTTACTGATGAACGATTGAAAAAGTAGTCAAAGCAACATTCTTCGGGCGATTATGGCCACATTTTAGTCTTTGCTGTCACATCCGCTATCTTCACAACACTACTTTTTTTGCAATGCCCGTTAATGAACACTACACCTCATAGGTCATTGGAATCATTTTTATTGAACTCTACCGCAAATGGTCACCCTGAAAAAAAAACTCTACTTATCCTACCACCTAGCCCATGTATTCTCTCAGAACCTTTGCCATAGTGGTTCAATGAAAATCAAGCCTTTACCACCATTGCAAAACTTTGAAATACACACATATTTCGCTCAAAAATGTGCTTGGAAACTCACCGTAAAACAAAGAACTCTGACCTCAGTGTCGAAAAGTAACGCTACATCACTGTCGCTTCTCTTTTCTGTCAAGAACACGTATCCTCATCTCCAACGGAAACCAAAAGGAGATGGAAACAAAACCTGAAATGGAACCAGTTCACTAAACTAGAATGACAGAAACACCTTACCGATTCACAAAGCAGCCTCAAAGGCAAGCCTTCACAATCCGGAATAATCGTAGCTTAGCTTAGGCACGACCTTGAATGAACGCGGGAGTGCGCTAAGAGACCCGCCTCATAGATTAGGCGCGTAATTTGAAGCACTGCATCACCCCCACCGTGTCCGATCAATAACGAGGCACTTAGGGCGATTCACACATCATATCAATGGATTTTAGGCATGTAGGGGACTTCACACATCAGATTGGTGCGGTCTGGTTTAATAGGAGAATTTTGAGTCGGTGAATGCTAAAATCATTATGTCATAAAAGTGGGTATAGATGCCTCAATTATGTGTGGAGATTTCCTAAGCTCATCTCTCGCACATGTACCAAATTTCAACTTCCATTTGTGAGGTCATGAGCGAAAAGTCCTAGAATCGCCATATCAATGGTAAGAATAAATAAAAATTTTTCAAATACCTAAGAAGAGTTCCACCATATACCACTCACACATGTACAAAATTTGAAGTTCCTGGCTTCAGCCCGAAGCGAGTTATGCGCAAAAATGAGATTTTAGCATGCGCTGCAGTGACATGTAACAATGAGTAATCAATCGATGCTTGCAGCGAGGGATCTGCCAGGGCACGGCAGCGAACTTTCAATAGAAAAGTTTGTAAGAAGAAGACTGTACTTGTCATAACCGACGGAACTAGAAACTCGCATGACGTTTTTATACAGTTTTCTTGCATTCGATCAAAAATTATACAAATTTGTGACTTCATGAGCGAAAAGTCATAAAATCGCCGCATCAATGGTAGAAATGGATAAAAAACTTTCAAATGCTTGAAAAGAGTTCAACTATTCATCTTTCACACATGTACCAAATCTCACCAGATGCAGCACGAAGCAAGTTATGGGCAAAAGTGAGATTTAGCAGAAATGCGCTGCAGTGGCATGCAGCGATGAGCGAGAAATCAATCGATGGCTGCAGCGAGGGATCTGCCAAGGCACTGCAGCGAACTTGCAACAGAAAAGTCTGTGAGAAAAGGACTATACTCATCATATCGACGAAGCTAGAAACTCGCATGACGTTTTCATGACAGTTTTCTTGCATTCGATCAAAAATTATACAAATTTGTGACTTCATAAGCAAAAAGTCATAAAATCGCCGCATTAATGGTAGAAATGGATAAAAAACTTTCAAATGCTTGAAAAGAGTTCCACTATTCATCTACACATGCACCAAATCACACCAAGATCCAGCACGAAGCAAGTTATGGGCAAAAGTGAAATTTTAGCAGAAATGCGCTGCTGTCGCATGCGGTGGCATGCCACCGCTGCGGTGGCATGAGTGAGAAATCAATCGATGGTTGCAGCGAGGGATCTGCCAACAGAACGGGCACCGGATTTGTAATAGAAAAGGCGTAAAGAAAAGGCTATAGTTTACATAGCATGAGATAATGAGCGATAGAAACTCACATGATTCTTTTTACCATAATTTTCTTACATTCTAACAAAAATATTTAAGTTTGTGATCAACCAATTGCACCGAACAGTACAACCGGAAGAACCCGTAGCTCACTTGTTTTAAGAGATAGCGGTATAAAAAATGAACAGCGTTTGCTTTGGTACTTTTCTTACCATACACCAAAAATGATTCCAAATTACGATATTACCAGTGATAAATGATAAAATGCTTTTATCAGTGATAAGCATGGATAAAAACGGCTTATTCTCTCACGATAATTTTGGATAATGAAAATTTCGCACTAATTCGCGACTTACACTGTGATAGATGCTAATAAAAGCCTTAACATAGAAAACAACAAGGTATCACCATATGTCTACCGTGTCACTGAGAACTACTGACATATTGTATACCAGAAGATTCGTCTCATGAAGCTGAAGTCAAATCTTCACTTAGATTACAAATAAAGCTGTTTTAAAACAAGTTATAGCTAAATCCCGCTTATCCCGCAAATCCCGCGAAGTCGCGAATCCCGCGAATCCCGCAAATCCCGCAGTTTTGGACAAATTCCACCGCTGCAACTGTATATTAGGTTGGCCCGAAAGTTTTGTCCCACCATTTTCAAAAAATCATAACTTTCTCCTAACACGACGTTTTTGTATGGTTAAAACATGCTGAAAAGAGCAATTCATGCACTTTCTAAAACTATGTTGGCTGCTATCTACTACGCTCTGAGTGAAGAGATAAACTTGGAGAAAAGAAATCACTTCAAGTTCGGAATTTTTAAGCAAGCCCGTTAAAAAATCGAAAAGTGTACCATAAAATCCAAAACAGGCAGTGTCCTAGGTTTTTTGGTCCCCTCTTTCCAGCTGATCAAAACTCGCGCTGATTGAGCTTTTTTGAAAGGAGTTGTGATTTTTTCAAAAAAATGCCAAAAAATCAGTTTCTTAAGAAAATTGATTTTTTGACATTTTTTTTTGAAAAAATCAGAACTTTTCGAAAAACAGCTGCATCAGCGTGAACTCTACTTAGCCAGAAAGAGGGGGTAAAATAGTTTAGGATAGTGGCTGTTTTGGGTTTTATATCACAGTTTTGGATTTTTTAACGGGCTTGCTTAAAAATTCCGAACTTGAAGTGATTTCATTTCTCCATTTTTAACTCTGCACTCAGAGCGTAGTAGATAGCAGCCAACGTAGTAAGAAAGTGCATGAATTGCTCTTTTCAGCATGTTTTAGCCATACAAAAACGTCGTGTTAGGAGAAAGTTATGATTTTTTGAAAGTGGTGGGACAAAACTTTCGGGCCAACCTAATATATTAGGTCGGTCCGAAAGTTTTGTCGTTTCATTTTGAAAATTTGTAACTCTGCGCTATCCCAATGGATTTGCATCTTTGTGCACGGACGTGTCACAACTTATGTGGTGGACTTTGATAGTTATGTGAACGAGCTTGTGGTAGGTTAGCGCTTGACACATGAACATACTCGCGCACAAAACAGAAAGCTCGCTAAAGGATGAAGCTGGACTACGATAAAAAAAACAAGGTCAACGAGGGAGCGTTGACTTTAGGCGACCGGGTGTATATGAAGGTGCCCATGAAATAAGCTTCTTAGAGGGTTATTAGGAGTAATCGAACTTAGTGACGATAGCGCATTAATTACACACATAAACGCGAAATGATGAATCTAAGTGTTCGTTTGATTAGCTTAGAAACGTGCCCCGAAGTGTAGATAATGGGCCTGCCAAAACATCCAGGATAAGAGCAAAAGGGGTAGACCTAAGAAAGTGTCGGTCTTGAGAACTAGCCTGGTAAAGCAACGATAACCAAAGACCACCAATTCGGGTTTCTGCATCATCTTTCGTGTCTTCGTGTCCGGTCATCCGTCAACTCTTAGCAAATTGGTTTTCCTGTTTTTCTTTCTTCTACCCTGTAGCTTGAATGGGTGAGCACAACGTATTTTACTCCGCCTCGCGAAGTTGCATCAAAAATATTAGAGTCCGACATCCATGAAGTCCATCCTCCCCTTTTCGATGGCTCACTTCGGGGCATGTTGCTGGGTGCAGTCTTGTGATGGCGTTCTCCATCATTTCGTAATGGTCTATGACTTTAGCGTCAAATCCTCGCGCGGGTCCTTTCAAACTTTTGACGATTTCAACGCACACTTTGCGAATTTCATCCCATTCATCCTTGCGTGCTTTCTCGAAATTAGGCGAGAAGCATTCCAGGCTTCCTCCGCGTTGCAGATGCCCCTCGACGGCATTGCTGCGTCTCAATCTGTCTGACTTTGCGTCCTCTTTAGCTAGACCATAGTATAGCGGCGCTGATGGGTATATCGTTCAACATCGACAAATAAGTAGCTGTTTTTTCAGCAGTTCGTTTTCTTTCCTCCATCAGCTTCGAGTGGGTTCCAGCGCTAAGAACGCAACGTTCGCAAGTTCAAACAAGTTCTTCACTTTCGTCGACCTGGTCGACTGGTATCGAAGTCCCAAGAATGCCACATGTGCGCGCTCTTTAATTTCCGCAATTACCACAATGCGTGAGATGCAATGGCTTTGTTTCCGAATCTCCGACTTTGACTCCGAAACACAAAGCTTTAGAACTCGAGACTTTTTTCGGTCTACCTCTTTTGCTTTGGTTATCGTTGCTTTACCAGGTTAGTTCTCAAGACCGACACTTTCTTAGGTCTACCCCTTTTGCTCTCATCCTGGATGTTTTGGCAGGCCCATTATCTACACCTCGGGGCACTTTCTAAGCTAATCAAACGAACACTTAGATTCATCATTTCGCGTTTATAATTAAGGCGCTATTGTCACTCAGTTCAATCCCTCCTAATAACCCTGTCCAATCATTGACGAATTTGGGGTGTTTCTAAGAAGCTTATTTCATGGGCACCTTTATATACACCCGGTCGCCTAAAGTCAACACTCCCTCGTTGACCTTGTTTTTTTTAATCGTAGTCCAGCTTCATCCTTTGGCGAGCTTTCTGTTTTGTGCGCAAGTATGTTCATGTGTCAAGCGCTAACCTACCACAAGCTCGTTCACATAACTATCAAAGTTTACCACATAAGTTGTGACACGTCCGTGCAGTCTCGCGGCACGTAAGGGTCGAAATCATAAAGCAGAAAAAATGTTGGCTCGCCCTTGGACTCGTGCATAGCCGTGTTATACCCTAGCATGCAGTATGCAAGCATATTCCACTCCACTGGAATCTATACTTTTTCCTCAGCAACTGTACGATAGTCTTGTTGAATCGTTCTGTCAGCCCGTTGTCTCTTTGGTTGTACCTGTTGTAAAAGCTAGTGTTATTCCCGAAGTTTTTGACAATTCGCTAAGCATTTTGTTGTCGACTTCGTCTCCTTGATCAGATAAGATGCGTTTGGGAAATCGACAGCCCTCTGCTATCCATCACTCAAACAGGACATTCGTTACTGTTTCTGCTGACTTTGACCATTGCGTAAGCTCCTCCATATCCAGTGAAGTGGTCTATAACGCCATATTTTGCAGTTTTGCACATGGTAGGCTTTGAATTTTGCTCTGTAATCTTGTCCGTTGCTGAAAGGAGAAATTGTTGAAGTTTACTGAGCTGTGAAATAGATATTGAATTGATG